ACACTTGTTGGTGTTTCCTTGTTGGTGTCCCCATCTGGTTGTCCCCCAGAGTCCTCCTGTCTGCTGTAATACTTCCCTTAAATCTCGGTTGAGCTCTCACTACCTCTTGATCGTTTCTTGTGAGTTCCCACCTTCTTTCCTCAGCCTTATGCACCTGGTCCTGACTGTTTGTCTTCTTCCTAATGTGGCTATACAGCAGTTTCGGTAGATTTGGACTTTTCGATGCTATGTCGTTTTATACTGTCTCTGGGCCTCCCTCCTTATCTGCGCATACTGTTTCTGGTTTCTACTAATCTCCTTGCTTTTCCGGGTTCCTATGCCTCCTGTTACCTTTTTCCATTCTCTGTTGCACTTAGCTTTTGCCTCCTACACCTTCGGGTTAACCAAGGACTCGTCTTGGTCTTCTATTATTTTCTGTGTCCCTTGGGAACTCAAAACTTTCCTCTGCCTCCTTGCACTTTGTTGCCAATATTCCTCATCTCGTTTACTGATTTTTCCTACATTTCTTGTTCCCATCTGAACCTCCTGCAGGAAGTTTCTCATACCTGTGTAGCTCCCCCCTTTTATAGTTTGGCCTGTCCCCTTCAGTTCCTGTTACTTCTCCACTTGTACCTCTACTATATAGTCAAAAACTCAGAACCACAGATCGCTAGCTCCCAAGGGCCTTCATAGGATGATCCTCGATGTTCTGAGACTGGCCCTCCTGGGTGAACACAAGATCCAGTCTTGCTTGGTATCCTCACCCCTCTCACCTTCTCAAAAACGGTTGTGCTCCCGGAATGATGAATGCATGAGGTTTTCAAGTACCACATCCATCATCTTTGCTCTCATTGTTTCGGGGACCCCATGTGGCTCAGGTTTTCCCCAGTGATCTCCCTGTGGTTGGAAATCGCCATTACAGTAACTTTGCTCCTGCTCGCACTGAGCTCTTCTTGCAACCTCAAGCCAGTGTGGTCCACCATCACCCCTGTTGTTTCTTCGTACTCCTCTCTTGGCCCTCCTGCAGTTCTGTGTGTGGGTTATACATCAACTCAATGACACTTTTATGTTCTCGGACTGAATTGTACCTACCAATAAAAAAATGTAGTCTCTCTCTCCAATCATGTCCATGCCTTCCATTTCCTCTAAATCCCCATTGGTGTTTTATGAGCAGTGCAAACCCCCTCCTCCCCCTCTACTCCTTCTACTTTCCTCAGGATCTGATATCTGTTGGGAAGATTGTGTTGTTATCTAGCTCAGCGGTTTGGTTTCTTGTGAATGCTATGATGTCTGGTGATTTTTCACTGATTCTTTTCATCCACTCCTAATGTTTTTTATTATTCATCCGCATTTGTGTACCAAACCTTTAGTTTTTTTTCTTATCATTGTTGGTCATGCAAGTATATTGGTGGTTGGAGGGAGGAGAGCCTTGGTGGGGGCCTATATGGGGCTGTGGTGCTAGGTGGGAGTATGTGTTGATGGGGGTGAGGGTCAGAATGCCCATAAGGGACAGCTGTTGGCGGGGTGAGGTTGATTGATATGGGGGTTGGGGGCAGAGTGAACAGTGGTGACGGTTGGAGTATAGGTTGACCTCAGTTGCGTTGGGAATGTCGCGGGTGGGGTCTTTGGTGGGAGATTCTGTGGGGTGTGTTTGCCCTTCCACCTGTGTCTGGGTTCCTGCTCATTTTCATTGCTTCTCGTTCTTCTTGCGTCTCTGTCCCTCTCTTTCAGTGTAGTCCTTTCTTCTTGTGTTCTGTCGCGGTAGAGGTATACTCTCTGGTACCCCTTCTTTGTCTCTCAGTCTTGCTTTCTCTTGCAGAATCCTGATCTCGAAACTGATTTTCCTGAAAGTTACTTGACAGGCCGTTATCCCTTCCACTCGCAAAACCACCCTATTCTCTGGAAATTTGTCACCTGGGTCATATTGCCCCTCCCCTATTGTTTTCATGATGCCTTTCAATCATTTTTTTTCCTTCCTGTTTTATTTCTTCAAAGTTGGCCCCCTGGTTCTTGGAGCCCGCTACACGAAAACTGACCTCGCCTTTCCTCCTCCCACTGAGTCTCCATCTGCTTCCTCTGAGGCATTTTGTTCCTTCCATTGGACATGTTCTGGCCTTCGTCCCTGTCATATCTGAAACATTTCTATTCTTAGTGGACTGTCTTTTCCTGGCCAGGTCCCGTGCTACTGCAAGTTGGCTGTTAGAACCTCTGCATATAACCAAACCTTCAATTTCTTTCGGACCTGTTTCGCTTGACTATTAGTGTGCTCATCGTCTTTTCCCTGGCACCACGTGGGTCTGATAGGTCCTTCGTTGTACGGCATGTCTCCGTTGTTGCTTACATCCCCATCGTCTGCGCCTGGACTTGAATTTCCATCATTGTCTTCGGACTGTCGTTTGATCCTCAGTGTGCTCGTCGTCTTTTCCCTGGCCCCACGTGGGGCTCTGATATGGCCTTCCTGTACGCATGTCTCCGTTTGTTGCTTACCATCCCTTGTCTGCGCTCGACTTTGAAATTTCCTGATGTCACGTATGATTGTCATTTGCTATCCTCTAATATGTTTCAGGCTTTGCTATTTTCTTTCTAAGCATCTGTATCTAGCTTCTGCTGTAAGGCCCTGTACTTCCACTTCCTGCATCTTTCAGCTATCCGCTCCCCTCCATTTTATTTCCAAGCTCTACTATCTTCCTTCCCACTCTTCCTTCCCTTTTTGGGAGCTCTAACCCAGTCTTTTCCTACCCTGGTTCTTCTACCAGATCTCTGGTTTTCCGTCCTCTAGGCCACCATATTTTTTTTTTTTTTTTTTTGTTAGGGAGGAGAGAGAGAGGGAGGGGGAGGAAGGAGAGGAGAGAGAGAGGGAGGGGGAAGGGAGAGGGGGGGAGAGAGGGAGAGAGAGAGAGAGAGGGAGAGAGAGAGGGAGGAGAGAGGACTGAGGCGAGGAGAGAGAGAGGGGAAGGGAGAGTGAGAGGGAGAGAGAGAGGGAGAGGGAGACGTGAGGGGAGAGAGAGAGAGGGAGGTGATGGGAGAGAGAGAGGGGAGAGAAGGAGGGAGAAGAGAGAGGGGAGAGGAAGGGTGAGAAGAGAGAGGGAGAGAGAGAGGGGGAGAGAGAGGGAGAGAGAAAGAGAGAGAGAGAGGGAGAGAGAGAGGGAGAGAGAGAGGGAGAGAGAGAGGGAGAAGGAGGAGAGAGAGGGGAGGAGAGGAGAGAAGGAGAGAGGGGAGAGGGGAGAGAGAGAGAGAGAGAGGGAGAGGGGGAGAGAGGAGAGAGAGAGAGGGAGAGAGATGGGAGAGAAGAGGGAGGAGGAGAGGGAGAGAGAGAGAGGGAGGAGAAGAAGAGTGGGAGAGGAGAGGGAGAGAGAGAGAGGGAGAGAGAGCAGGAGAGAGAGGGAGAGAGAGAGAGTGGGAGAGAGGGAGGAGAGAGAGCGAGGGAGAGAGAGGGAGAGAGAGAGAGAGCGGTGAGGGGGAGGGGGAGAGGAGAGGAGAGGGCGAGAGAGAGAGAGATGGAGAGAGAGAGAGAGAGTGGAGAGACGAGCGGTGAGAGAAGAGACGAGAGCGAGAGAGAGAGCGGGGCGAGAGAGAGAGAGGAGGGAGAGAGAGGGAGAGGGGGAGAGAGGAGAGAGAGGAAGAGAGAGAGAGAGCGGGGAGAGGGAGGAGAGCGGAGAGAGAGAGAGAGAGAGGGAGCGAGAGAGAGAGAGAGAGGGAGAGAGGGAAGTGAGTGAGTGGGGAGAGAGGGAGAGAGAGGAGAGAGAGAGGAGCAGAGAGAGAGAGAGAGCAGGTGTGTTGTGTGTGAGTGAGAGGGGTTGAGAGAGGGGAGTGAGGGAGGTGTGGATGGATGTGGGGGGCGGATGTAGAGAGCATGTGTGTGTGTGTGTGCGTGTGCGTGTTGTCTGAGGCACTGTGTGTGTGGTTGTGTGTGTGTTGCGTGTGTGCGTGTGCGCATGTGTCTGAGCAGTTGTGTGTGTGTGTGTGTGTGTGTGTTGTGTTGCGTGTGCGTGTGTCTGAGGCATGTAGTGTGTGTGTGTGTGTGTGCGTGTGTCTGAGGCAGTGTGTGTGTGTGTGTGTGTGTGTGTGTGTGTGTGATGTGTGAGGCAGTGTGTGTGTGTGTGTGTGTGTGTGTGTGTTGTGCGCGTGTGTCTGAGGCAGTGTGTGTGTGTGTGTGTGTGTGTGTGCGCGTGCTGACTGCAGCTCAGTCAGTGTAGGGCTAAACCTCTCTCTGATCACAGCTCCTGTGTGACATAATATTCTTAGCTTCTGTGTGAGATACTATTCTCAGCTCCTGTGTGAGATACTACTCTCAGCTCCTGTTAGATACTATTCTCAGATCCTGCGTGAGATACTATTCTCAGAACCTGTGTGTGACACTATTCTCAGCTCCTGTGTGAGATATTATTCTTAGCTCCTGTGTGAGATACTACTCTCAGCTCCTGTGAGATACCATTCTCAGAACCTGTGTGAGATACTATTCTCAGCTCCTGTGAGATACTATTCTCAGAACCTGTGTGAGATACTACTCTCAGCTCCTGTGAGATACTATTCTCAGAACCTGTGTGAGATACTACTCTCAGCTCCTGTGAGATACTATTCTCAGAACCTGTGTGAGATACTATTCTCAGCTCCTGTGAGATACTATTCTCAGTTCCTGTGTGAGATACTATTCTCAGCTCCTGTGAAATACTATTCTCAGTTCCTGTGTGAGATACTATTCTCAGCTACTCTATTACCAAAATAAAAATCTTTGTTGGTCGGGTACTATTTCGAGGACACTTTCCTTGGACAGTTTGACTTAATTGTCCTGCAGTTTCAAGATAAACATAATTTAAACTGTTTAAAATAAATACACATGTTTAAAATGAGTTGATTTAGGAAATTTGGATAATTAAGTGTTAAACTCTAATGCAAAATTTTCAGCTATTGACAATGTTGAAATATTATTGAATTATCAGTGGAGAAAATCAGTGTGGAAAATCTTAAAAACACGTCAGTCTAGTTTGAAATTATTTAGCAGTGTAAGAAGCGTCAGTAGGATGAAAACCTCAGACACACCTGGTTATGAACCCAACTGTACCTTGACTGACCTCATAACTCATCACCTGGATGAATGGGACTCTTACTCTATAGCAAACTTGACTCTTGAGGAGGAGGCTAACTTCATGAACTGTACCAACTTGCACCACATTGTCAACATTAACTGTTCCCATGAAGACTATTTATGTTGGTGTGCCAAGGACGTGTATACTCACTACTGTTCTGGCACTCCTGAATATTATTCCTACATTTACCGCATCATCGGCACACTATTTCAAGGTATCATCTTCGTCATCGGAGTCATCGGCAACATTATGGTAGTCATCGTGGTCGCCAAAAATAAAAATATGACCACGCCTACGAACTGCTACCTGGTAAGCTTGGCCATCGCTGACTGTGCTGTCCTCATAGCCGCGGTCCCCCAAGAAATTGTGAGCTACTATCTTATTGGCAACCATTGGATCTGGGGCCACGTCGGCTGTGCTATCATGATATTCCTGCAGAACTTGGGTATTAACGCCAGTTCCCTGAGCTTGACGGCTTTTACTGTGGAGCGATACATTGCTATATGTCACCCAATGAAAGCACAGACTGTGTGTACGGTAGAGAGAGCCAAGAAGATTACATTGTTAGTGTGGGTGTTTGCAGTATGTTACTGCTCGCCCTGGCTCTATCTCACCACTGTCATCCCTCTGAGCTACGCTGTTGACTATCCCACACAAGAATGTACCTTCAAGCTCTCCAGGGACCAGTATTTCCTCTACTATTTCTTAGACATTATAATGTTTTACGTGGTTCCTTTGTTGATGTCTTGCGTGTTCTACTCCCTCATAGCTCGGATACTCTTCACCTCACAAGTGCCCAAGTACCCCACTATCAACGGTCATCTTAACAAGAAAAGAGTCAACTCTCCTCGAGTTCAGGTACACTAAATAATATCACTAACGTTGATAACAAAGTCTACTCATTAAACACTATAGCTGCTGATGTTATTATGTATATAAATTATTTATCTATTTAAATAAATCATATTTGGATTGTTTCTGTAATGTATATAACATATAGCTTTTTTTTTGTTTCTGTAAGAATACATATATCACTATATTTATAAGTATACTATGTTAGGTGTATATTCACCTAACTGTAATTATCTAATTGTGGTTGCAAGGGTCAAGTCATAGCTCCTGGCCCCGCCTCTTCACTGAGCGCTATTAGGTCCACTCTCTCCCTGCTCCATGAGCTTTATTGCATCTCTTCTTAAAGCTAAGTATGGATCCTGCCTCCACTACATCACCCTTCAGACTGTTCTACTTCCTAACAACTGTGTGACTGAAGAAATACTTCCTAACATCCCTGTGACCCATCTGATTTTTCAACTTCCAGTTGACCCCTTGTTGCTGTGTACCATCTCTGGAACATCCTGTCTCTGTCCACCTTGTCAATTCCTCTCAGTATTTTATATGTCGTTATCATGTCCCCTCTAGCCGTCCTGTCCTCCAGTGTCGTCAGGTCGAGTTCACTTAACCTCTCCTCGTACGACATGCCCCTCAGCTCCGGGATTAGTCCTGTTGCAAACCTTTGCACTTTCTCTAGTTTCCTGACGTGCTTGGCCAGGTGTGGGTTCCAAACTGGAGCTACATACTCCAATATAAGCCTGACGTACACGGTGTACAGGGTTCTAAACGATTCCTTACCGAGATGTCGGAATGCTATTCTTAGGTTTGCTAGGCGCCCGTATGCTGCAGCAGTTATCTGGTTGATGAGCGCCTCAGTAGATGTGCTCGGTATTATACTCATCCCAAGATCCTTTTCCTTGAGTGAAGTTTGTAGTCTTTGGCCCTTTAGACTGTACTTTGTCTGAGGTCTTCTTTGTCCTTTCCCAGTCTTCATGGCTTTGCACTTGGAGCCAGTTGTTGGACCAGGCCTGCAGCCTGTCCAGATTCCTCCTTCTGTCATGACATTCACATACACCAGGAACAGCATTGGTCATAGGACACCAATCAAATTCAGTCCCTCCCTCTCATATACTTGTCCATTCTCTTTTTAAAGCTTGTCTCATAATGTTTCGGAGGATGATTAAAAATAGTTTTCAATAAATTTGTATTTTTTCCCATGGTTTATATTACTTGCTGGAATTGAGTGTTAAATAAATATAATAGAAGAAACAGTTTATATCTCATACAGTCATGTGCTCTGGCATGGGGAATATCCTTGATCACCATCATCACTAATCGAGTCTTAACATAAGAACATAAGAAAGGAGGAACACTGCAGTGGCACTTGGAGAACAAAACAAGTCTTAGGCTCCCCATATAGTCTGCAAAACCTGTGTAGAATGCTTACGACAGTGGAAAAATAGGCAAAGGAAAAGTTTAAACTTGGGTGTGCCTATGGTGTGGAAAGAACCGATAAGCCACAATAACAATTGTTATTTCTGTATGGTGAATGAGAAAGGTTTCAATCGATACAAGAAAGTCAAGTGGGAATATCCTGATTTATAGTCAGCAAAAAGACCTGTGCCACACAGCGATGTTGCCATACCAGTGTTTACAACACTGCACGACCTTCCGTTGTCAGATGTTAAAGAAACTCAGGGTTTAGGATGTAACACAGGTGATAGCAGTGGAAGTGAATATAACTAATGTAATAGTACTGGAACTGGAGTCCTGCAGCAAATGGTTAGTAGGCGACAAACTATCGTTACACCTCACGAAAACGGAAGCCATATTCTTTGGCACGAAACATAAACTGAGAAGGGCAAATAATTTTAATATCCGGTGTAATGGGGAGCCCATCACTTCAGTTTCCTCAGTACAATATATGGGAATCCCATTTGACCCATGCATGTTAGGAGAATTGATAGGGAACAGTGCAGTAGAGAAAGCGAATGCCAGACTGAAGTTCCTCTACAGACAAGCACAGTGTCAACCTACTTAGACTCGCAGTACGCTATGTCTAGCCCTTATATAATGTCACATGGGCTACGCTTGCTCTTCATAGTACTCTGCCTTGACAAAAAAAAACTGAAAGATAGACTGCAAATCACCCACAACAAAATGGTAAGATTCATCCTGGGGCTGGGACCAAGAGAGCACGTAGGCCAGCATGAATTACAACAATTGGATATGCTGAATGTTGAAGACAGAGTAAAACAAGTAAAGTTAAATCAAGTTTATAAAATCGCTCACAAACATTGTCCAGAATATCTTGCTGTCAATTTTGTCAAGGTTGGGAACCAAAGCAATCATAGTACTAGGGGGAGAGAGCACAACTTTGTAGTACCCACAGTCAGTGGCCAGGCTTCAAACACCTTTTATTGTACAGCAATAAAGGAATGGAACAGACTGCCCGCACATGTCAAAGCCAGTCGTAGCATGAACCAGTTCAAGAAGAGTGCCAAAAGGTACCTAATGAATGTAGCGACAGAAAGGGAGGAGAATGTTTTTTTTATTATTTTAGCTAACAAAGATGAAAATATAAATACGTAACTCATTTTACCTTATTCCTAACATATCTCCTTTTTAGTATAATAATAAGATATTATCTCCTTTATAGTATAATAACAAGGTACTAAGAGGACCCCCAATGGAAATAAGTCACACTGTCTGACATTTCTGGGTTATCTAGGATGGTTCTCTACACATATGCTGCTACGTATGATAACCTATGCAACTGTGTTTGTGTATATCTGAATAAACTTAATTAGTAAGCAAATTTCAATACACCAGCAGTTCTCCCAAGAAGAATTCAGTGATTTGATACATGACCTCAGTCTGTCTTTCAGCATCTGAGCTTTTAGCATCCAGACTAAAAGAAAAGAACTGTTTACAACAAGAAGTTAAAATAACAGTTTACCGGACAAGAGAGGCTGAACGTCTTCCTTACTTCAGCCAAGATGTAGAGCTTGTATACTGCAGTAACATCCCTGGACATCTTCTTCGAATGGGACTTGAATGTCAAGCAGAAGATTGGCGGCTGTTTATAGACACATAGAGGCTTGAAATGTCTTACTGCACAATGGTTACCAAAATGTGTCTCTTGCAAGTGTTCACTCAACAAAACTGTGCTGATGACCAGCTTAGGAAAAAATTGTACAAACAAAGCTTACATATACAGTAATTAGTGGTATGTGAATGATCTCACTGTGTTATTCTGATATTATAAAGAATGTCGTGTTGGTATGTGTATATGATTTGACGTTTTCCTGATCTAAAAAAATAACTTCAGTGTGATTTATAAAGTTAGTCTCACTTCAATATATTTTTCACATCTTTTATGTTTTTCAGTGGGATACTAAATTTATCAAAAACTATAGCCAATCAAGCAACACTGATGATATATCCGGTATCAGCACCACAACCTGACCCTAAAATAGGTTTAATATCATTGACCAGAAAATGAGTGTTGACCAGTGGACCGATTTTTCTCGACCAAAAATTTACAGTCTGACAAATTACATCTCAAGACAAAATCAAACTTTATAACAAACATGGCTCCACTATACAGAACTGACAAGGTCAAAAACATAAATTACTTGAAGTGATACTTGATGCAGCAGCTGTATAACCAAGATCTCAGTCGTTCTGTAAACAATTCTTGAAGTTATTAACTTCGTCATTAGGACAAGAAACACATCAAGCCATTAATATCATTCATTGTTATTTGTTAAGATGTAACTTGGTGTGAGTCGTTAACTTCTGTGACTTAGTTTGTAAATCTCAATTCCGTTTCGCTGAACTAGAAAATATTTTCGAGAGTGGTAGCCTCTTCCTTACAAGTGAGAAGTTTTAAACTTAGACAAGTTTATGTCACTCGTCAGAAAAGTGACAGATGCAGTTCGGTGTAGATAAGTTCAAAGTCCTCTTATAAACTAGCGCCTATAAACTAAGTAATATAAAACTAGGCCATACAGAATGTGAAGATGGTTTGGGAGTTATAGTAAGCAGTGACCTGAAGCCAAGTCAACAATGACTAAGTGTATATATGTAAGAAGAAAACACATTACTGGGATCCGAATCAAGAAGTATAAGTAACAGTAGTTATGCTAGAGAGCTTCAGGGAGGGATGAGCCGCTTTTCAGTGATCAGGAAATTAAAATTGAAAAATTATGGAAAAAAATGTTTTCTTACTGAAAAATAGTGCAAAATTCTGGCAACATTTTCATGTACTCAGCTTGTATCTATCATATTTGTAAGTATGGTTTTCATTAAATGTATTTTTTTTTTGTTCTTGCTGGCAGCAAGAGGACATGTTGGCAGTTAATGTTTTTTGCTATTAATGTTTTTTTCCCCTCCAAAAATTACGATTTTTATGATTGTTTTATTCTTAATTCTCTACAAGGCAACTTCTGTGCTGACTAAAGTGTAGAACTGTGTGTCCCATGGTAGCCTGCAGGCTGTCAACAAGAGTGTCCCATGGTAGCCTGCAGGCTGTCAACAAGAGTGTCCCATGGTAGCCTGCAGGCTGTCAACAAGAGTGTCCCATGGTAGCCTGCAGGCTGTCAACAAGAGTGTCCCATGGTAGCCTGCAGGCTGTCAACAAGAGTGGAGGGGAGCAACACTCAAATTCGGCGTGTCGTAACCGTAGAGTTTCACACCAAACAATAATAATGACACAGAAATAAATTATTGACATTATACAAATAACCTGCACATAGAAGAGAGGAGCTTACGACGACGTTTCGGTCCGACTTGGACCATTTACAAAGTCACATTAACGAAAAGGACAGATGGAGGGGTATATATAGCCAGGATGTGGTACTAGAAGTAGTAGTAGTGGAGGTAGAAGGTAGTAGTAGTAGTAGTGGGGGAGGTAGTAAGAAGGAGGAGGAGAAGGTCAGTACTAAGAAAGAGGAGCACTGCCAGGGAGTTAGGTGCCCACAGAGGATAAGAGCAGCAACACAGAACTTCTTGTCCTACCAAGG